CCGCGCTGCCCGCGCTGCCCGCGATGGCGGCGGGCTGGGGGATGCCCGCCTTGGCGCTCAGCGAGCCCAGCAGGTTGCTGTCGACGGAGAAATTCTTCGCCTCGTCCGCCACCGAGCATCTCCGGTGAGGCATGGGGTCGCTGAGGGAGCGGTAGGGCTCGGTGCCACCCTCGCTGCCACCCTCCATCCCATTGGCGCCCGCCGACGGGAACTTACGTCGGCGCCGCAGGCTGCCAGGGGTGCTCGGCGTCTCGGGTTTGCCAGCTGGAAGGTCTTCAACCACCGCTGCCGTCGGGTGAGCGGGCAGCGGCATTGCGGAGTCACCGGCTGCCGGCCCGGCGCTGGGCAGCATCCAGGAGTCCACAGCTTTGTGCAGGTCTTGGAAGGGCATCCCCACGGGCTCTGGCTCCGTGACGATGCCCTCGTCCGTCACGCTCGACTCGTGACCCGACAGCTCCTCCACGGATTTACTGTGAGCGAGGTTCTCCTCCAACTCCACGTCCTTCAAACACCACGTGCTCTGCACCTGTCCCCGAAGGGTTGCGCCCGTCGTCCCCGTCGGTGCCACCGCCTCAGCGCCCTCCACACCTCCGCTGTCCTTCTGCTCGGCGGCAAAGCCGTAGTCGTGCTGGGAACCCATCCTGCTGATCTTCTCAAACACCTGCCTCGCCTCCTGGATGTACTGGTCCTGGATGACCACGGGGAGAGGATCCTCGTCCGCCTGCTGCCCCCCATCCGGAGCCACCCGGCCCTGGCTGTCCGTAGAGGCCAGAAGGAGCTCGGAGGAGCTCTGCTTCATGGTGCTCTGTAGGAAAAGCCGCCGAGTCCCGGATTTTTCGGAGCAGGTGAAGGACTTAGCGCGACGTAAAGTGGCCGTAAGGTCCTTGAGCGTTGGCCGCTCGCCCGGCGCCCAGCGGTTTTGGGGATGAGTGGCACCGCAGCTGCCTGGGGAGGGGCCGGTAACACTGGAGCATCCGTCGGAGCCCACGTCAAGGCCGATCCTCACCCCTTTCTTCTTCACCTTCAGCTCTGAGAGGTCTGATTTGAGGAAGCTGAGGAGAGTCAGGGTCTCGGTGGCGATGTCGGGGTTGGACAAGGACTTGCGGTGCTTGGCCCGCTCCCCTTCCAGCCCTGGCTGGCGCAGGCTCTCGCTCCCGTAGTCCGCTTTTGCCTTGGCCACGCTC